ATTCTTTGAGAAAATGTTCTATAGTTAAATATGTACCTTTACCTTGAGCAAATCTATACATCTCTTCTCAAAAATGCTTAAGCAACATGTATTGCCATGCTATTCTCATCTCCTGGCTGCTTTAGTTAACTCATTTGGTATTTTATCTGGTCCCGGTGTTTTATTAATTGGGGCAGCTCTGATAACTTCCTTAAACTTTTCTGTTAGTGTGTCAGGTTTAGTTCCACAGCGGTTTCCGGTTTGCTGTTTTGAGACTTTCTAGTGTTGGATGGTACAGTGAGAAGTTGTTTAAAGTACTGTCTCCATTTTGTTGGAATTTGTTTATGTTTACTTATTGATTCACCTTTGTCATCGCCCATTCAGGAATGTGTCATGTAATTTAATACTGGCTATTAAAGACGATAAAACACAGAAAATTAAACTATTTTGGTCACTTGAAACGTCATGAAAGTTTAGAGAGAATAATAATGAAGCTGTATATGCCAGGAAAAAGAGGAAGAGGAAGGCCAAAGAGAAAATGGGTGTAGGATGTGGCGGATAATCTCCAGATGGGTGTAGGATGTGGCGGATAATCTCCAGATGGGTGTAGGATGTGGCGGATAATCTCCAGATGGGTGTAGGATGTGGCGGATAATCTCCAGATGGGTGTAGGATGTGGCGGATAATCTCCAGATGGGTGTAGGATGTGGCGGATAATCTCCAGATGGGTGTAGGATGTGGCGGATAATCTCCAGATGGGTGTAGGATGTGGCGGATAATCTCCAGATGGGTGTAGGATGTGGCGGATAATCTCCAGATGGGTGTAGGATGTGGCGGATAATCTCCAGATGGGTGTAGGATGTGGCGGATAATCTGGAGATGGGTGTAGGATGTGGCGGATAATCTTCAGGTGGGTGTAGGATGTGGCGGATAATCTCCAGATGGGTGTAGGATGTGGCGGATAATCTCCAGGTGGGTGTCGGATGTGGCGGATAATCTCCAGGTGGGTGTATCGGACGCGGGACTTCTTGCTTGTGATAGAGAGGTTTTCTTGAGGGTTTTATGGGAGCAAGTGTTTTGCATGGGACATGCTAGTGACTGACTGACTGACTGACGGACTGAATGACTGACTGACTCACTGACTGAATTTACAATTCTGGATTTCACAGACGTGTGTCCATATATTGCAGCGGCAAAAGTTTGGAAATGCACAGTTTAAGAACCTCTGTAACGTCAAAAACAAGTATCTATGGCTACCGATCCCAGTATAACATGGACAACTTTCCGACAGATCACTCTATTTGCATTATAAGAGAATCGGCAAGGCGGCCTGGTCGGAATTGCTTGTCTTAATAGATATGGGGAAAGTGAATAACATTAGACGCTATCAGAAGATGTCCGAGAGAGCTTTTATTAATAAAGAATGGGCGCTGGTAGAGCTCAAGCCAGGAGATGGCCCGTGGGGAGGGGTCGTTCAGAGCTTGGAGACTGAGTCTCCAATTTCGGGTCTCGGTAGAAATCGTTTGATTTGCTATTTGGCTTCTATTCAGACATAATCTCGGGAGCTCATGAACCGATTGAAGAAGCGACCAGGTTTGGTTGTGGGGGTGGAAGAGGGGGGGGGGGCGTCAAAGGCTTACAGTATGTTTAGATATGGGTAGATGGAAGCGAGTGGGGCAATTGAGTCTCCGGGGGAGTGGTGTAACTGAAGTGAGGCTTTATTAGGAAGTCATGTCGTAGAGGAACAAATAAATGTTTAGTGATGTAAACAGTTTGGAGTCGATGAGGTTAAGTGTTACAACAACTGAGTGAATTATGTATGTGATGTAAACAGTTTGGAGTCGATGAGGTTAAGTGTTACAACAACTGAGTGAATTATGTATGTGATGTAAACAGTTTGGAGTCGATGAGGTTAAGTGTTACAACAACTGAGTGAATTATGTATGTGATGTAAACAGTTTGGAGTCGATGAGGTTAAGTGTTACAACAACTGAGTGAATTATGTATGTGATGTAGATAGTCTGGAGTCAGTGAGGTGATTTGATGTAACAGCTGAGTCGGTGATGTGATATAACAGCTGAGTGAATGATGTGATCTAACAGCTGAGGGAATGATGTGATCTAACAGCTTAGTGAATGATGTGATATAACAGCTGAGTGAATGATGTGATCTAACAGCTGAGTCGGTGATGTGATGTAACAGCTGAGTCGGTGATGTGATGTAACAGCTGAGTCGGTGATGTGATCTAACAGCTGAGTCGGTGATGTGATCTAACAGCTGAGTCGGTGATGTGATGTAACAGCTGAGTCGGTGATGTGATGTAACAGCTGAGTCGGTGATGTGATCTAACAGCTGAGTGAGTGATGTGATGTAGATAGTCTGGAGTGAGTGATGTGAAGGGGAGACACTGACCAGATATTCCTCCTCTACTTTTACCCTCTCCCGGGCTGTCAACTCCGGAAGAAAGTTTTAAGCTGTTCTATCTAAATTTTTTTATACACTGTTGGTTTTCTTGCCAATCAAGCACTCCGATTTGGAATGAAACTCCCGCAGTCGCCTTGTACATGTTTGTTGGGAAAGGGGCAGGGGCAGTGAGTCCCCCCACCCCCCCCCCCCCCCAAACCCTTTCAATTAGTCCCTGGAACTCATACGGTGTACTGACCAAAGGGTACAGATGCCCCTATGGGAATCAATGAGGTTTACTCCCTGGATTTTGTTTAGAATTTCACAACAGGCTTACCCATCAAACAGCGAAATGTACAAGTTAAACATAAGTGTGCCATGTCATTAGAGGTTAGGACAAGTTAAACATAAGTGTGCCATGTCATTGGAGGTTGGGACAAGTTAAACATAAGTGTACCATGTCATTGGAGGTTAGGACAAGTTAAACATAAGTGTACCATGTCATTGGAGGTTAGGACAAGTTAAACATAAGTGTGCCATGTCATTGGAGGTTAGGACAAGTTAAACATAAGTGTGTCATGTCATTGGAGGTTGGGACAAGTTAAACATAAGTGTGTCATGTCATTGGAGGTTAGGACAAGTTAAACATAAGTGTGCCATGTCATTGGAGGTTAGGACAAGTTAAACATAAGTGTGCCATGTCATTGGAGGTTGGGACAAGTTAAACACAAGTGTGTCATGTCATTGGAGGTTAGGACAAGTTAAACATAAGTGTGTCATGTCATTGGAGGGTAGGACAAGTTAAACATAAGTGTGTCATGTCATTGGAGGCTAAGACAAGTTAAACATAAGTGTGTCATGTCATTGGAGGTTAAGACAAGTTAAACGTAAGTGTGCCATGTCATTGGAGGTTGGGACAAGTTAAACATAAGTGTGCCATGTCATTGGAGGTTGGGACAAGTTAAACATAAGTGTGCCATGTCATTGGAGGTTGGGACAAGTTAAACATAAGTGTGCCATGTCATTGGAGGTTAGGACAAGTTAAACATAAGTGTGCCATGTCATTAGAGGTTAGGACAAGTTAAACATAAGTGTGCCATGTCATTGGAGGTTAGGACAAGTTAAACATAAGTGTGTCATGTCATTGGAGGTTGGGACAAGTTAAACATAAGTGTGCCATGTCATTGGAGGTTAGGACAAGTTAAACATAAGTGTGTCATGTCATTGGAGGTTAGGACAAGTTAAACATAAGTGTACCATGTCATTGGAGGTTAGGACAAGTTAAACATAAGTGTGTCATGTCATTGGAGGCTAAAACAAGTTAAACATAAGTGTGTCATGTCATTGGAGGTTAAGACAAGTTAAACGTAAGTGTGCCATGTCATTGGAGGTTGGGACAAGTTAAACATAAGTGTGCCATGTCATTGGAGGTTGGGACAAGTTAAACATAAGTGTGCCATGTCATTGGAGGTTGGGACAAGTTAAACATAAGTGTGCCATGTCATTGGAGGTTAGGACAAGTTAAACATAAGTGTGTCATGTCATTGGAGGCTAAGACAAGTTAAACATAAGTGTGTCATGTCATTGGAGGTTAAGACAAGTTAAACGTAAGTGTGCCATGTCATTGGAGGTTGGGACAAGTTAAACATAAGTGTGCCATGTCATTGGAGGTTGGGACAAGTTAAACATAAGTGTGCCATGTCATTGGAGGTTGGGACAAGTTAAACATAAGTGTGCCATGTCATTGGAGGTTAGGACAAGTTAAACATAAGTGTGCCATGTCATTGGAGGTTGGGACAAGTTAAACATAAGTGTACCATGTCATTGGAGGTTAGGACAAGTTAAACATAAGTGTGTCATGTCATTGGAGGTTAGGACAAGTTAAACATAAGTGTGCCATGTCATTGGAGGTTAGGACAAGTTAAACATAAGTGTGTCATGTTATTGGAGATTGGGAGAATAATTCCTGCATGCTATATAGAGCCAGTTTTAACAGACGGTTGTAAAGCCTGGACAATTAATTAACAAGACTAACAATATCTTGAGGCCGCGGAGATGTGGTTTTCCAGAAGAATCCTTAGAATTCCTTGGACAGCTCAGAAGAGCAACCAAGATGTTTTGAAAGAGGCGAGTGCTCGAAGACAACTTTTCAGACAAACATCAGAAAAAGACAGTCATCAATGTTAGGTCATGGTAGGAGAAGAGGGAAAATGTTGTGACCACTGAAAAGATCTGTGGAAAGAGAGACAGAGGAAGACATCATGAAAAGATTCTTGACAGTTTTTTTGTCATGGTATGGAGGGGTGTCAACACACGAACTCATACAAGCAGTTGCAGATCGCAGATTGTAGAGAGGCATGATCGCCCAAGCCAGTCGGCAAGTCACCTGATAATATTCCAAGTCATCGTCTCACTGCATGGACTGTATACCATAGGCGAGCGACGGGAGCTGGGTGTTCCAGCAGATTTAGGTCCCTGTCTCTCGCCCCCCCCCCCCCCATGAGCCAGTAAAACATTCTGGGCAGACACAAGTCTGTGGGGGACAGTCTAGGCAGACACTAGTCTGTGGGGGACAGTCTAGGCAGACACTAGTCTGTGGAGGACAGTCCGGGCAGACACTAGTCTGTAGGGGAACAGTCTAGGCAGACACTAGTCTGTGGGGGACAGTCTGGGCAGACACTAGTATGTGGGGGACAGTCTGGGTAGACACTAGTCTGTGGAGGACAGTCTGGGCAGACACTAGTCTTTGGGGGACAGTCTGGGCAGACACTAGTCTTTGGGGGACAGTCAGGGTAGACACTAGTATGTGGGAGACAGTCTGGGCAGACACTAGTCTGTGGAGGACAGTCTGGGCAGACACTAGTCTGTAGGGGACAGTCTAGGCAGACACTAGTCTGTAGGGGACAGTCTGGGCAGACACTAGTTTGCGGGGGACAGTCTGGGTAGACACTAGTCTGTAGGGGACAGTCTGAGCAGACACTAGTCTGTGGGAGACAGTCTGGGCAGACACTAGTCTGTGGGGGACAGTCTAGGCAGACACTAGTCTGTAGATGAACAGTCTGGGCAGACACTAGTCTGGAGGGGAAAGTCCGGGCAGACACTAGTCTGTAGGGGAACAGTCTGGGCAGACACTAGTCTGTGGGGGACAGTCTAGGCAGACACTAGTCTGTGGGGGACAGTGTGGGCAGACACTAGTCTGTGGGGGACAGTCTGGGCAGACACTAGTCTGTGGGGGACAGTCTGGGCAGAAACTAGTCTAGGGACAGTCTGGGCAGACACTAGTCTGTGGGGAACAGTCTGGACAGACACTAGCCTGTGGGGGACAGTCTGGACAGACACTAGTATGTGGGGGACAGTCTGAGCAGACACTAGTCTGTGGGGGACAGTCTGGGCAGACACTAGTCTGTGGGGGACAGTCTGGGCAGACACTAGTATGTGGGGGACAGTCTGGGCAGACACTAGTCTGTGGGGGACAGTCTGAGCAGACACTAGTCTGTGGGGGACAGTCTGGGCAGACACTAGTATATGGGAGACAGTCTAGGCAGACCCTAGTCTGTGGGGGACAGTCTGGACAGACACTAGTCTGTGGGGGACAGTCTGGGCAGACACTAGTATGTGGGGGACAGTCTGGGCAGACACTAGTCTGTGAGGGACAGTCTGAGCAGACACTAGTCTGTGGAGGACAGTCTAGGCAGACACTAGTCTGTGGGGGACAGTCTGGGCAGACACTAGTATGTGGGGGACAGTCTGGGCAGACACTAGTCTGTGGGGGACAGTCTGGGCAGACTCTAGTCTGTGGGGGACAGTCTGGGCAGACACTAGTCTGTGGGGGACAGTCTAGGCAGACACTAGTCTTCGGGGACAGTCTGGACAGACACTAGTCTGTGGGGGTCAGTCTGGACAGACACTAGTCTGTGGGGGACAGTCTGGGCAGAAACTAGTCTAGGGACAGTCTGGGCAGACACTAGTCTGTGGGGGACAGTCTGGACAGACACTAGCCTGTGGGGGACAGTCTGAGCAGACACTAGTCTGTGGGGGACAGTCTGGGCAGACACTAGTCTGTGGGGGACAGTCTGGGCAGACACTAGTATGTGGGAGACAGTCTGAGCAGACACTAGTCTGTGGGAGACAGTCTGAGCAGACACTAGTCTGTGGGGGACAGTCTGGGCAGACACTAGTATGTGGGAGACAGTCTGGGCAGACACTAGTTTGTGGGGGACAGTCTAGGCAGACCCTAGTCTGTGGGGGACAGTCTGGGTAGGCACTAGTCTGTGGGGGACAGTCTAGGCAGACACTAGTATGTGGGGGACAGTCTGGGCAGACACTAGTCTGTGAGGGACAGTCTGGGCAGACACTAGTCTGTGAGGGACAGTCTAGGCAGACACTAGTCTGTGGGGGACAGTCTGGGCAGAAACTAGTCTGTGGGGGACAGTCTGGGCAGACTCTAGTCTGTGGGGACAGTCTGGGCAGACACTAGTCTGTGGGGGACAGTCTAGGCAGACACTAGTCTTGGGGAACAGTCTGGGCGGACACTAGTCTGTGGGGGACAGTCTAGACAGACACTAGTCTGTGGGGGACAGTCTGGGCAGACACTAGTCTGTGGGGGACAGTCTGGACAGACACTAGTCTGTGGGGGACAGTCTGGGCAGAAACTAGTCTAGGGACAGTCTGGGCAGACACTAGTCTGTGGGGGACAGTCTGGACAGACACTAGCCTGTGGGGGACAGTCTGGACAGACACTAGCCTGTGGGGGACAGTCTGGGCAGACACTAGTCTGTGGGGGACAGTCTGGGCAGACACCAGTCTGTGGGGGACAGTCTGGGCAGACACTAGTCTGTGGGAGACAGTCTGGGCAGAAACTAGTCTTGAGGGACAGTCTGGGCAGACACTGGTCTGTGGGGGACAGTCTGAGCAGACACTAGTCTGTGGGGGACAGTCTGGGCAGACACCAGTCTGTGGGAGACAGTCTGGGCAGACACTAGTCTGTGGGAGACAGTCTGGGCAGAAACTAGTCTTGAGGGACAGTTTGGGCAGACACTAGTCTGTGGGGGACAGTCTGGGCAGACACTAGTCTGTGGGGGACATTTTGGGCAGAGACTAGTATGTGGGGGACAGTCTGGGCAGACACTAGTATGTGGGGGACAGTCTGGGCAGACAATATATGTGAAGGATGTAGAGCAGCTAAAGCATATGGGGTGGTAGACGAGAACCAGGGCTCATTCAGGCTAACACCAGTGGTTACCTTGTGGCGGTCATCCTAGAACACACCCACAACCGGAATGACGTTTCCTTCCTAGTCAGAGTGCATCAGCTGCCTGAGGGGTAAAGAACTAACATTCTGCATACAAATAAGCAGATCTGTAAAACTCACACACACACACGCACGCGCGCGCGCACGCAGGTGCGAATATTGTATTCGGTTAGAAAACATATTTTTGCCAGTCCACCCATGTGATATATTCTGGTGCTGCCTGAACCACCTTACCTATGCAACTCGTCACAGAAACTACGCCACAAGATCGGCGTGTGGGACGCACTATTTTCCATCACTTTTACATTTGCTGTGTGCCTATCGCAATCTAGTTTTATTTCAAGGGAGGTAAACAAGTCAATACTTGTAGTCAGATAAGGCCGCCTGTGTTGCCTCCCTTAACATGGGTGTTCAAATGTGGAGCTTTGCTGTTTTGTGTTTTCGTGAAAGTTTAAAGGTTCAAGGTTTAAACAACGGGGCAACATGAGAGCACAAGGGTAGTAACCTGTAAGTGCTCCGCTCTACTTCTTACTCAAGTCTGGGTCTAAAGAATCCCAGCGTAGTGCACTAACTCCGTAGCACCGACGAGGATCCTGAAATACTTTGGGTAGAGTTTTAACTCCCATTTTTGCCGGGGCTGCGCCGTTGGGCTACTCTTTTTGATTCCCAACTGCCAACATATATTTTTCGTGCGCAGAAGTATACACGGGTGTCCGATCTTACTACCCATAGACCAGGGGAATTTGCTAAAAGTCTCCCTGAAATAATGCCAGCCTTCACCAGGGCTTGACCCCGGGACCTCCAGCACTCAAGACGGACGCCATGCCTCGAGACCACGCAGCCCGCCTCATGAAAGTATTACCTGTCAGGCGAGCCGCCGTGATGTAGCGGCTACATCTTTGCCTGCAGACTGGAGGTCGTGGGTTAAATCCGCATGAAATGGTCAAACATGACCGAAGCACCCAGGCCGACCCAGTCTTACACGGGTAGCAGGTCAAGTACTAGAAATTAACTTGAACACATCGCTCTTTTTCTTCTTATTCTTCTTCATCATCATCATCATCATCATCATCATCATCATCATCATCATCATCACCATCAACATCATATTCTTCTCTTTCTTCAGCATTCCGAGCCCTTGAGGTTCATTGCTGCAGGTATTACTTGCCTCCATTCCTCAGTCTGGTTGGCCTTCTATTTCCAGTTGGTGACACCAAGTGTTTGCAAGTCTGTCTGGACATTATCTCTCCATCGTCTTCTTGGTCTGCCTCGTGGTCTACGGCCATTTATCCCCTTTGCGTATATAGGTTTTACTTCTCTGTCATCTGACATTCCTTCAATATGCCCCAACATTTCAGTCTATTAGCTCTCCTGATGCCAATGATCAATGGTGATTTAAACAGATAATGAATTTCGTTGTTGCTTCTCACTCTCCATTCCCCGTTGTTTACATCTTTGATAGGTCCACAGATTCGTCGTAAGACTCTGTCTTCGAAAACCTGTAATAAGCCTGGTTCTCGTTTAGCTGTACAAACTAGAGCGCATACAGAACGCGACTTGTGTGGTCAGCAGACCCATGAGTACATTTACAGGGCAAAACTAGCCTGAAAGAGATGATCAGAAGGTGCCTTTCCTCGTAATTCGCTGTAAAGCAAAAAATGGGGGGTGAAGAGGCGGGGTGTGTGGAGGGGTGGGGGGGGGGAAGTGCGGGTGTGGTGTCAACAGCAAACAGGCTGTCGACAACAGATAAATCTAAAACACATTGTTTGTTCTATAGAACTGACTTGTGTTAGTGTCTGGTTTTTCACGGTTCACTTTAGTTCAGTTTCTGTGTGCATTGTTATTAGATGAGATTTCTGTTGATACTGTGTTTGTTTGACTGGTAAGGTGATCCCATCCAGTCTGGGGCTATTAAGTGGTGAAGACGTCTGGCCAAGTCGTGCCAAGGAATCACTTTGAAAATTCTGTGGAGCCAATTACTTGAGTCGCCTCAACCCTGAAGTGGTGTTGGAAGGTTGTTGGAGCTACGGAGTACCTCCTAGAGTCCTGGACCAATACGAGCCGCCATCACAAAGATATATCACTTTAGAGTGTCTTTTATTACTAGCCGAAACCCTGATAAAGACACGTGACACCATCGTCTCGTGACAGACAGACACTGATAGGCTCAGTGAGGAGGCTCATCATAACCATGGGAGAACTTCCAAATGCTATCTCTGTTCTTAGGTCAAAGGTTGCCCTAGATCCAGATGGGGTCACCAGTAAGATGTTGACCTACCTAGCTGTGCTCAGTTGCTAAAGCTGCTAGAAATGTACAAGGTGAGAAAGGATCGATGCCTCAAGCATGGAGAGCAGCCAGCACACTACCCATACTGAGAAGAGGACAACATTAGACTGAGGCCTGAAGCTATCGGTCATTCAGTTTTATCAACTGTGAAGAGAAGACATTTAGGAGAATTGTCAATCACAGACTGAAATGGCACATGGAATCTGAGCAGATCTTGGTGTCAGAACAAACTGGGTTGAGAGAATGTTACAGCACAGAAGACCTAGTCCCCTAGCTCTGTCAAGAAACCCAAGAAACAAACCCTACCGCCCGAATTTCGTCAGACATTGAACGCAAAGATAAAGAGCTCCCACCGCGACGAACAAATCAAAAGTCCACAAAGAAAAGCAGGTGAAAATATAGCCGCCACTCAGATAGGGACGGAGTGCTTATGGGAATGCCGCGAGTGCTGTGATGTCGGTTTTTGAATCAAATCAATCAATCAATATTTTTCCTTTAAAACAAATACTATAATCAAAATAAAATAAGAAAACAAAAGTTACTAAATGAGGCGTCAGTTACAGAAATAATTAAACACATACAGTTGAAAATTAAGAAAATAACACATACAGTTTGAATTTGCCAGCAAATGGACTTGATTTGTATTTGTACGCTACACTACAGATCTTCAACTTCAGTGGTAATGTGACAGTAGTATTAGATCTGCCCTATACTACAGATCTTCGACTTCAGTGGTAATGTTGCAGTGGCATTGTTTCTGCATTACACTACAGATCTTACACTTTTTTTGGGGTCATAAAGGTGCATTCATAGCTTCCACCTCAAGTTTCTGACATGTCTTCTGTTGGAATTCAACTGTAAAACGGTCCCACGTGGGCTATAGAATAGGCCCATGGGTTCAGGTAGTCGGGACAGCAGTCGACATAAATGGGACGGCACCATGTGCAGAGAGAGGGGACGCAGGTTTCCTTGAGGTGGGCTGGTGGTAGGCGTTTGTTGTAAGAATCCAACCTGGCAGATGTAGACATCACAATGTGACATCAGCAAGCTACTTTCATGAATTACAGTTCCTAACTCTTAAAATAATAATCAATATTTGCCTTTGGGCTACAAACCAATATTTATCATTCAGTGAATGTAAATAACCAATATTATCACGCAGTGATGTGACTAACCAGTATTTATCATCCAGTGATGTGACTAGAAAATATTTATTACCCCGTGATGTGACTAATCAATATTTTTCATCCAGTGATGTGACTAACCAATATTTATCATCCAGTGATGTGATTAACAAATTTTTATCATCCAGGGATGTTACTAACCAGTTTTTATCATCCAGATGTGGATAACCAATTTTTATCATCCAGTGATGTAACTAACCAATATGTATAATCCAAATGTTACTAACCAATATTTATTATCCAGTGATGTTACTAACCAATATTTATTATCCAGTGATGTTACTAACCAATATTTATCATCCAGTGATGTTACTAACCAATATTTATCATCTAGTGATGCACCTAACCAATATTTATTATCTAGTGAGTAAAGAAAAAAACCAATGGAGGCTGCGTGGTCTTGAGGTATGGAGTTCGCCTCTAGTGTTGGAGGTCCCGGTTTCAGACCCTGGTTAAGGCTGGGATTTTTTCACGTGGATTTCTCGTAATTCCCTTCGGTCTCTGGCTAGTGAAGTGACGTCCGACGCTTGTGTGTATTGTTGCGCACGTAAAGGGTTAGAAATAAAAAAAAAATTTGCTTTTCGGCGTTGCCAGGGCAAAATTCGGTGTTAAAAATCTACTAAACGTAAAAATTATGAGAGAAAGAGACATCAGCTACAACCCAACACCTATCTTCAACAAGAGGCATACCTCTATCTGGTCCACAACAGAGGTTGGCAAGATGGGCAGAGTATTTTCAAGAACTTCTCAACCCCACAGGCAACGTAGATAATGTTAACTTTGTATCTCAAAGCTGCGAACAAGAGGAGCCAAATTTCAGAGCAGCGAAAGTAAGAGCAGTTGTACAGAACAGCCCCAGAAACAAGGCACCAGGTCTGGATGGAATTAATACAGAAGGGATCCAAGCATGCGGAGAAGTGGGTGTTCAGTGGCTTACTAGAATGTTTAATATAGCTTAGGAAGAAAGAAAAGTCCCAGTTTAGTGGCAACAGGCATTAATAGTACCGATATGGAAAAAGAAAGGTAATAGGAGAAAATATGAAGCATACAGAGGTATATCACTACTGAGTCACGTAGGACAAATGTACGCCACATTACTAGAACAGAGAGTTAGACCCATAGCTGAACAACAGCTGAGTGCATCACAATTCGGTTTCAGAAAGCCATTGAGTATAATACCAAACAGAATATTGTGTTTGTAGATCAGGAAAAGGCTTTTGATAGAGTGGAAAGAAACAAACTGTGGTCTATTATTGAGAACTACGGGGTACAAGGACAGTTACTAGAGAACATCATAGCCAAAGTGCAGTAAAAACACAAGAAGGCATATCAGATATGTTCAAGTCAATACAGGTGTGAGACAGGGATATGTGCTCTCCCCGCTTTTATTTGACAGAATATCTAAAGAAGCAAGTTCTTATACAGACAACATAGACCTTTATAATCATGATGAAGTACACACATCAGGAGAAGTTATTGATTCACCCACATTAAACGAACTACTATTTACTGACGATCAGTGCTTGTTCTACCCTGAAGAACATGTACTGCAAGACCACATTAACAGGTTAAACTCAGCATGCAGTAAATACAACATGAAGATCAATGTAAACAAAACCGAAACAACGCAAGTTAGTAGAAATCTTGCTCCACTAAACTACAGCTGAATGGTTCTGCTCTGAATCAAGTTAGGGAGTTTAAATATCTAGGAAGTATGATCACAGAAGATGGTAGAATTGACAGAGAAATAGAAACCAGATCTCGGAAAGCAAGTGCACTTATATACCAATTGTCATCATTATTAGGACATCCAAGCATAACTATGAGTGCAAAGAGACAGATTATTAATAGCATATTCATTCCAACATTAAGCTACCAGTGCCAAACATGGACACTATCTAAGGCCCATATACGTAAAATGACAACCTGAGAGATGAGCTGCCTGAGAAAAGCAGCCAGCCTAACCATCCGAGATCGAGTGAAAAATGAAACTATCAGGCAAATTGTGGGAACAACACCTTGTACTAGATTCAACGAGAAACAGTAGATCAAGTGGTTTGGCCATCTCGTTAGAATGCTGTAAGATCAAATACCATCACAAGCACTACATCACAGAAGATCAGCTACAAGAGCAAGAGGACGGCAGCGGATCGACAACATTAAAGACACTCTACGCCTTCACGGCATGACAATAGCCAGTGGCAGCCAACGTGCACTGGATCGCAAATTATTCCTCGACAAGACGCTTAACGGCAGAAGTGGTTGATGATAATGATGATGATGATGAAAAATCTATTAAATGTATTTCAGGATCTTCGCCGGTGCTACGGAGTGTTTGCACTGCGCTGAAGTTCTTTGGACTCAGACCTAAACCTAAAAAAAAAATTAACATCCCGACATGTAACTAACCAACAGCACCCAGTGAGCTAACTAGCCAGTACTGGCCACACAGCGGTGTTTCAATGTCCTGTTGTACAATTATAATCCAGTCCTTTGGCCTCTCTGATCACCTTCAGTTGTAGGGTTTCTTGTCAACGTCCTAGCCTCCTTCATCTCCTGAACTCTGCTGGTTTCTTCTAGAGATGTGTTCAATAGAGCACCGACGTCTTTGTCAAACCAATCTTTATCATACATTAATACACCTAAACCCTAATACACCATACCTCGGTAGGGATGTCACTATAATGGTTAGGTCATTATGCTGACGATGTCACTATGATATCGATGCCATTACAGTGATGATGTCACTATGATATCGATGTCATTACAGTGAGGATGTCACTATGATATCGATGCCATTACAGTGAGGATGTCACTATGATATCGATGCCATTACAGTGAGGATGTCACTATGATATCGATGCCATTACAGTGAGGATGTCACTATGATATAGATGTCATTACAGTGAGGATGTCACTATGATATCGATGCCATTACAGTGAGGATGTCACTATGATATCGATGCCATTACAGTGAGGATGTCACTATGATATCGATGCCATTACAGTGAGGATGTCACTATGATATCGATGTCATTACAGTGAGGATGTCACTATGATATCGATGCCATAACAGTGAGGATGTCACTATGATATCGATGTCATTACAGTGAGGATGTCACTATGATATCGATGTCATTACAGTGAGGATGTCACTATGATATCGATGTCATTACGATGGGGATGTCACTATTATTTCAAAAGGTATGTCATGACATACGAAAACATATACAACAGGTATGTGACGACATACCACAACATTTGCAGTAGGTGTACCATAACATGCCACAACATAAACAACAGATGAGTTATAACATACCACACATATACAACAGGTGTGTCGTGATATACCACGACATATTCAACAGGTGTGTCAGAACAAATCACAAACTTAAAGTGAGTTAAAACATAATTTTGAAGGGGAAAAAAGTTACCAATTCTGGAAGTTGAAGCCCCCTTTCCTGGCCAATGGGGCACGGTGTGGTGGGCAGCTTGGCTGCGAGTCTTGAGCAAAATATGGATCCCTGGTCAAATATTTATATATAGACATGTGTGAGCGTCAGAAATATAAAGCTAACCGAAGTCGGAGTGGATGGGTCTGAGAGACGGGGAACCAATAGTTTGCATACAAATAAGCCAGACCTGCAGAACGGATGTGCACTCAAAACTCAGTTTCTGGTATAAGACTCGATTCCAGAAATGAACGAACAACCAGAACTTTCCACAGGAGTTTACCGTTGGTGGAACAACACACACTAACATAAACACATTTGCGTGACAGTCTGATTAGCAGTTAGAAACTGTAATAAGCTGGCGGTAACCACGACTGTGCTGGCACTTTATCTTCGTCATCAGTTCCGCTTACGGAGCTTCAGGGTTCAGGGGAGATACAATATTCTGGTTCCTGCTCTTCTACCTCGATCATAGACACAAAGTTGTTACAAAGTTTATGTTACAAAGTTTCTCTGGTCTTATCTTGTCATCTTGTTCTCGATTTACCTCGAGTTAAACACCTATCTCTTCTTACCTTGGATGGTATGACAGCATGAGGCATTCTTTCTAAATATACAAACCATTTGATGTGTTATCTTTGCTTTTAGTTCATGATTGGCTCTTTGCGAGCCCTCTTCCCCAGGAATGCATTCCTGATTGTCTGTTCTGGTCACACTTGTGTCCTCTCGGATGTTCTTCTTCTTGTGTTCACTTTCTAATTTACGACAGTCCTTTTTAGTCCCATACAACTTTGCCTGCAGTGGTGACTCACTGGGCCAGTATTTTCTTATTAATGGGCTGAACATGGAACAGTCTTGCAGGACAAGTTCTGTAGTCTGCACACATAGCCCACAAGGGCACAAAGGTAAACTGCTTAAACAAAGCCTGTGCATATGCTGGATGTTAATTTTGTCATTTAATTTCCACATTCGATGAATGTTGTTCTGAGGGATTCAAACTAGGATGTCTGTTTTATAAGATCTGTTTCCCCCCCCCCCCCCCCCCCCCTCCTTTCTATTGACACTGCTTCTGGTTTTTTTTTTTTTTTCCTCTTCTCTTTTTGGCCTCAGAACAAAATATGTGCAGTGTAATAAATCTGCTACCTGGGGACGTTTTTGAAGATGTACATTCTCATGTGGAATAATGAATGCCTAGGCAACCTGGCAAGTTATAGGGAAGTATGTAGACCTAAGGACAACATACACTAAGATAACTAGACAATGTCTGCACCAGTTTAACGCACGGAGCAGCACATTCACGTACCCTGTAGGTCTGGTTGAGCTGTCCACCGATTGGCTTAGTGGCCTGATCAAACTCCTGGGATCTACCCCGATGGGAGGACAGAAACCCCATTGGGCAGCTACTCCGGGGCCATGACTTCCACCACAGTGACCCGATGAACTCTGACCCGGGACAGTGTAGCCTTGACCTGAGCTGGTCCTGCCTGCACGTTGAGCTGCCCATTCTGTTTTAGCTCTGTGGATGTCAGACTGTTGCTGCTGGCGAGCATACTGCTGGTTCTGTGCCCGGCACTTGCGATCTTCTTCTGCGTAATCGGTCCACCTGAAACACGCAGTCATTTGAGTAGTTGTTTAACCATTGACAGCTCAACATAATTCTGGATCCATACTTACAGACAGCATTTCATCAACATAGCAGTTTTTGTCTTTCCATATATTACTATTTCATTATATCCAAGAATCAGACACTATTGTATGTAATACACTGCATTAAATGATATATTACTATTTCATTATATCCAAGAATCAGACACTATTGTATGTAATACACTGCATTAAATGATATATTACTATTTCATTATATCCAAGAATCAGACACTATTGTATGTAATACACTGCATTAAATGACATAAAACATAATATGCTGCGTTATAGCTTCAAATTCTTACGTCCTTTTCAGGACGTAATTTTTTGTTATTTGAAGCCCCACTCTGGCTTTTGCCAGGGGCCGCAATATAGGCAGGTCATTATTATGGCCAAATGTCTGAACGCGGTTTCTGGGACCTCTCCACGGTGATCCTCATCCGCATGGTGGCACTTTGTGTCATCGGGTGTTTATCGCTTGTGTGATGTCCTGGTGGGGTAGAAAGTCAGTCAGTCAGTCATAAAACATAATTCTGCATCTTCCATCATTTATGAATTTTTTTAACACCCCTATTTCTTCTTCTCTTTATCATTCACTTGCTGTAACTGTGAAAATTCTGGCTGTTCGATCACTTCTAGACTTTGGCCCTGATTAAGAACTTGAGTTTTGAAAACAGTTGATAAGTTAATCGACAGATTATGCTCCCTGCACATCAGATAAGTCCATAAGCGCTCAGGTCCCATCTTCAGTGTGTTCTTCAGTGTGTTCTTTAGTGTGTTCTTCAGTGTGTTCTTCAGTGTGTTCTTTAGTGTGTTCTTCAGGGTGTCCTTCAGTGTGTTCTTCAGTGTGTTCTTCAGTGTGTTCTTTAGTGTGTTCTCCAGGGTGTCCTTCAGTGTGTTCTTCAGTGTGTTCTTTAGTGTGTTCTTCAGGGTGTCCTTCAGTGTGTCCTTCAGTGTGTTCTTTAGTATGTTCTTTAGTGTGTTCTTCAGGGTGTCCTTCAGTGTGTTCTTCAGTGTATTCTTTAGTGTGTTCTTCAGGGTATCCTACAGTGTGTCCTTCAGTGTGTTCTTCAGTGTGTTCTTCAGTGTGTTCTTTAGTGTGTTCTTCAGGGTGTCCTTCAGTGTGTTCTTCAGTGTGTTCTTTAGTGTGTTCTTCAGAGTGTCCTTCAGTGTGTCCTTCAGTGTGTTCTTCAGTGTGTTCTTCAGTGTGTTCTTCGGTGTGTTCTTTAGTGTGTTCTTCAGGGTGTCCTTCAGTGTGTTCTTCAGTGTGTTCTTTAGTGTGTTCTTCAGTGTGTCCTTTAGTGTGTTCTTCAGTGTGTTCTTCAGTGTGTTCTTCAGTGTGTCCTTCAGTGTGTTCTTCAGTGTGTTCTTCAGTGTGTTCTTCAGTGTGTTCTTCAGTGTGTTCTTTAGTGTGTTCTCCAGGGTGTCCTTCAGTGTGTTCTTCAGTGTGTTCTTTAGTGTGTTCTTCAGGGTGTCCTTCAGTGTGTTCTTCAGTGTGTTCTTTAGTGTGTTCTTTAGTGTGTTCTTCAGGGTGTCCTTCAGTGTGTTCTTCAGTGTGTTCTTTAGTGTGTTCTTCAGGGTGTCCTACAGTGTGTCCTTCAGTGTGTTCTTCAGTGTGTTCTTCAGTGTGTTCTTTAGTGTGTTCTTCAGGGTGTCCTTCAGTGTGTTCTTCAGTGTGTTCTTTAGTGTGTTCTTCAGGGTGTCCTTCGGTGTGTTATTCAGTGTGTTCTTCAGTGTGTTCTTCAGTGTGTTCTTTAGTGTGTTCTTCAGGGTTTCCTTCAGTGTGTTCTTCAGTGTGTTCTTTATTGTGTTTTTCAGGGTGTCCTTCAGTGTGTCCTTCAGTGTGTTCTTTAGTGTGTTCTTCAGTGTGTTCTTCAGTGTGTTCTTCAGTGTGTTCTTCAGTGTGTCCTTCAGTGTGTTCTTCAGTGTGTTCTTCAGTGTGTTCTTCAGTGTGTTCTTCAGTGTGTTCTTCAGTGTGTTCTTTAGTGTGTTCTCCAGGGTGTCCTTCAGTGTGTTCTTCAGTGTGTTCTTCAGTGTGTGGCGACTGATGCATCCGTTCTGTTCCGGTTTACTATTGTTCTGTGGCTTCTTGTGTAGTTTTCATGCCTGACAATAATTTTTTTTAAACCTGAAGTTCTTGTAGTGTTTTGACTATTGCCGACTCAGCGTTGTCTGTCTGAATCATTGACACTTCCTGTCTCCTCTAGAAAAAGATGCCACAAAGTGTCCAAACAAAAAAGGATGACATTCACCACAAAACGTTTATTGTCAGCAGCACTGAAAATAAACCATGTCTAAAGGTGCATCCAAGGAAGACAACTGTATGAACAGTCATGCTTCTCTCCTCTTGTGATCTCCAACAGCATGTGTCAGTCTGTACCATGACAAAAGTTTGCTGACGATTCTCATACAATTAAACAACAACAAAAATGTCCATTTGTAGGCACCACTAATTATACATTAACATGTTCCATATTTAGCCTCAAAAGCCAACCTGGTATTTTTGTATAGGACTAAATGTACTGCCTGTATTTACAACTTGTGTAGGGCGGTGAGAACAAGTCTGGGTGGGGGTTTGCAGCTGAACATTTAGAGCCACATAACTAGTGTTGTTACCACAAACTGTGATAAGCTCCTAAGACCCCGAGCCACCACCAATGACACAAAAAAGAAGAACTAAAGCCACCACAAAACAACCAAGCCACCACCAATGACACAAAGAAGATAAATTAGAGCCACCACAAAATAACCAAGCCACCACCAATGACGCAAAGAAGAAAGAATAAAGCCACCACAAAACAACCAAGCCACCACCAATGACGCAAAGAAGAAAAGCTAGAGCCACCACAAAACAACCAAGCCACCACCAATGACGCAAAGAAGAAAAGCTAGAGCCACCACCAATGACACAAAGAAGGTAAATTAAAGCCACCACAAAACAACCAAGCCACCACCAATGACACAAAGAAGAAAAACTAAAGTCACAACAAAACAACCAAGCCACCACCAATGACACAAAGAAGAAAAACTAAAGCCGCCCAAAACAATCAAGCCACCACCAATGACACAAAGAAGATAAATTAGAGCCACCACAAAACAGCCAAGCCACCACCAATGACACAAAGAAGAAAAACTAAAGTCACAACAAAACAACCAAGCCACCACCAATGACACAAAGAAGAAAAACTAAAGCCGCCCAAAACAATCAAGCCACCACCAATGACACAAAGAAGATAAATTAGAGCCACCACAAAACAGCCAAGCCACCACCAATGACACAAAGAAGACAAATTAGAGCCACCACAAAACAGCCAAGCCACCACCAATGACACAAAGAAGATAAATTAGAGCCACCACAAAACATCCAAGCCACCACCAATGACACAAAGAAGATAAATTAGAGCCACCACAAAACATCCAAGCCACCACCAATGACACAAAGAAGATAAATTAGAGCCACCACAAAACAGCCAAGCCACCACCAATGACACAAAGAAGACAAACTACAGCCACCACAAAACAACCAAGCCACCACCAATGACACAAAGAGGAAAAAACGAGAGCCTCGTCAAACTTTTAACCTTAACCAACGACACAAAGAAGAAAACGATAGCATCAACCAAAAACCCCAACCATCATATAGTGGCTCCGTGTTTTCCATAGACTACTCCATGACACTTTGGTGGCTGCAGCACAAGACTCGACTACATGGCGTATATATCCGAAAACAGTAGGAGGGCAGCGTTTTACGAGGCATCTAAAACAAATGTCGACTGAACATGCTAACAAGACGCCTATAACAGGACTTTAATCTACAGAAACTGTTTCATGCCTTGATCGTCCCCCTGATCGTCCTAAATCCTTCAGGGTCCGTATGGGACCTATGTCACTTCCAGAATCATAGACCATCAACAACAGTGTCATGATGGATGAAAGAAAGAGTGGTTGTCATTGCCTGTAATGGACGAACAACAACTAGAATGGCTTTTTGTCCCTCACCTGTAGTCGTGAATATTGACTGGGATATCATCATATCGACGATCGCAGGCCGTGTTCTCTACCACACTATGAAAGCGGAACTGGTCTCCTTTAGGTTCCTGGACTCCTGCTGGGGGCAGTAGATGCGCCATGGCTGCTGCAGGTTGCCGATCTTCTGAGCAGCTGTTCTAAACCCCTGTAAGTGCCAAGCATAGTGTGCTTTAAACGTTGCTCATGTCTTTGTGAAGGTGTTATATCGATAGTGAGTCTTTCTAAATGTGTGTCTTTGTCTGGGATTAAATGTTTCATAATAAGGGCCTCAGTTTTTCCAGAAACAAAACAAATGACGAACCTCTCCACACAGCGTTTATTACCTCCAGAAACAAAACAGATGCCGGACCTCTCCACACAGCGTTTATTACCTCCAAAAACAAAACAGATGCCGGACCTCTCCACACAGCGTTTATTACTTCCAGAAACAAAACAGGTGTCGGACCTCACCACACAGCGTTTATTACATCCAAAAACAAAACAGATGCCGGACCTCACCACACAGCGTTTGTTATCTCCAAAAACAAAACAGATGCCGGACCTCACCATACAGCGTTTGTTATCTCCAAAAACAAAACAGATGCAGGACCTCACCATACAGCGTTTGTTATCTCCAAAAACAAAACAGATGCCGGACCTCACCACACAGCGTTTATTATCTCCAGAAACAAAACAGATGCCGGACCTCACCACACAGCGTTTATTACCTCCAAAAACAGTGGCTCGGTAATTTATGTCACAGGCGTGAGGGAAAGTTAAGTCCAACATGATGTGTATAAGGAGATACTCCGTACGTCGCTCGGGCGCCAGTCCTTCATAGTTCTGGTTTTACGGAACCTCACGCAAGACCCCTGCAGCACGTCCTCGTCGTGTGCCACGGATAATGTCTCAAATGAGCATTAATAGAGCTGTCAGGGGATCTCGGAGTTGGCGGCCCCCAGAGGTGATGTATCCTTGTGGCTATCATCAGCCCGCCCCCAAACGCATGGATGAAAAAGGTTATCAAAACTCATTAGAACATGAGTAAAGTGCTTGCCTAACGTACAGCTAAAATTACAACCCTTGGTTAAAAGATTGCGGAGTGAAGAGAACATTGTTCTGCTGAGACTAAACCCTTGACCTAGAGATTTACCCGCAGCACAGACGAGTAACATCTCCTGTGGGTGGCGTCTCGCAGCAAGACTCTACCCATGTACATCCTCTGTTAACCCTCAGTGTCGTCGTCACCGCGCTGAGGTACACCACAACAGCAACAGCCCATTTAATGGCTAAGCCTAAATGTCCGACAAAACACGATCCTACGGCACACGAGTAAGCTCAAAATCCGACCATCACAAATTGTATTGAACGGGAAAAGTCCAAATGTCCACACCCAAAGACCCCACTCGCCCGAGTGTTGGGACCAAACTGACAACCATATGCCTGACGCAGGATGTTAAATTCTGTCGGGCTAACGGCTCGTCAAAGAAATCTAACGTGCGAAGAAAAAGAATGTGCCTATTCGTGTGGTCACAAAAGTTCAGAACCCGCGGGCTGCTCCCCGCTGACGTCAGAACTCACCACACAGCGTTTGTTACCTCCAGAACTCACCACACAGCGTTTGTTACCTTCAGAACTCACCACACAGAGTTTGTTACCTCCAGAACTCACCACACAGCGTTTGTTACCTCCAGATCTAACCACACAGCGTTTGTTACCTCCAGAACTCACCACACAGAGTTTGTTACCTCCAGAACTCACCACACAGCGTTTGTTACCTCCAGAACTCACCACACAGCGTTTGTTACCTCCAGAACTCACCACACAGCGTTTGTTACCTCCAGAACTCACCACACAGCGTTTGTTACCTCCAGAACTCACCACACAGCGTTTACCTCCAGAACTCGCCACACAGCGTTTGTTACCTCCAGAAAATCAAGTAAAATAAATCACCCTTTTCTCGCCTTCAGGTGTACTGGGCATATAGGGCTATGATTATATTTTACAAACCAATCGGCACTCGTTGGGTGACGTGGTCAACATCACTCCGGTCGCCTTTACATCCCTGGACTGTACCTGGTACCAATCAACCATTTCCGTAGAACTAAACCACACAAAAAACGATAGTCTAAAAAAGTGGTGCTCCATACCACGTATAGGTGCTCCACACTACGTATCGGTGCTCCACACTGCGTATCGGTGCTCCACACTACGTATCGGTGCTCCACACTACGTATCGGTGCTCCACACTACGTATCGGTGCTCCACTCTACGTATCGGTGCTCAACACTACGTATCTGTGCTCCACACCACGTATCGGTGCTCCACACCACGTATCGGTGCTCCACACCACGTATCGGTGCTCCACACCACGTATCGGCGCTCCACACTACGTATCGGTGCTCCACATCACGTATCGGTGCTCCACACCACGTATCGGTGCTCCACACTACGTATCGGTGCTCCACACCACGTATCGGTGCTCCACACCACGTAACGGTGCTCCACACTGTGTATCGAAGCTCCACACCACGTATCGGTGCTCCACACTACGTATCGGTGCTCCACACCACGTATCGGTGCTCCACACTACGTATCGGTGCTCCACACCACGTAACGGTGCTCCACACTGTGTATCGAAGCTTAACACCACGTATACGTGCTCCACACTACGTATCGGTGCTCCACATCACGTATCGGTGCTCCACACCACGTATCGGTGCTCCACAGCACGTATCGAAGCTCCACACCACGTATCAGTGCTCCACACTACGTAACGGTGCTCCACACTACGTATCGGTGCTCCACACCACGTAACGGTGCTCCACACCACGTAACGGTGCTCCACACTAAGTATCGGTGCTCCACGCCACGTAACGGTGCTCCACACCACGTATCAAAGCTCCACACCACGTATCGGTGCTCCACACTGTGTATCGGTGCTCCACACCACGTATCGGTGCTCCACACTGTGTATCGGTGCTCCACACCACGTATCAATGCTCCACACCACGTATCGGTGCTCCACACTGTGTATCGGTGCTCCACACCACGTATCGAAGCTCCACACCACGTATCGAAGCTCCACACTGTGTATCGGTGCTCCACACCACGTATCAAAGCTCCACACCACGTATCGGTGCTCCACACTGTGTATCGGTGCTCCACACCACGTATCGGTGCTCCACACTGTGTATCGGTGCTCCACACCACGTATCAATGCTCCACACCACGTATCGGTGCTCCACACGATGCATCGGTGCTCCACACTGTGTATCGGTGCTCCACACCACGTATCAAAGCTCCACACCACGTATCGTTGCTCTACACTGTGTATCGATGCTCCGCACCATGTATCGGTGCTCCACACCACGTATCGAAGCTCCACACCACGTATCGAAGCTCCACACCACGTATCGAAGCTCCACACTATGTATCGGTGCTCCACACTATGTATCGGTGCTCCACACTATGTATCGGTGCTCCACACCATGTATCGGTGCTCCACACCATATATCGGTGCTCAACACTATGTATCGGTGCTCCACACTATGTATCGGTGCTCCACACTACGTATCGAAGCTCCACACTACGCAACGGTGCTCCACACTATGTATCGGTGCTCCACACTATGTATCGGTGCTCCACACTATGTATTGTTGCTCCACACCACGTATCGGTGCTCAACACTGCGCATCGGTGCTCCATACAGACAAACGCTCTGCTGATCACGTTCATATTCAACATTAACATTGCCGATACGTGTGGAGGATATGGTTTGTCATCTCACATCCATGCAGGAAATGATTTGACATTTGTCATCACTTCCAGATCTTCCTCTTCGTCTTCTGTGCTCACACTTTTAGGAGTTAATGCACATTGTGTTGTGGTTCACAGCTAGGATGTGATATGTGAATCTGTTGACTCAACACATCCGGTTTTAGTACACTCCTAATTGTAACTTTTTACAAAAGGGTTTTTAAAGGACCAAACTACTGGAGAAACCATACAACAGCTAGGTGATGCTGGGGTTGGTTCTGCAAAGTCCTGTAAAGGATACACAACTAACCTATTAAAGGACAGGGCGTCTATTCTTGTTTGCTCCTGTGAAGCCTGGTAACCCACGCGCGGACATCTCAGGTGCAGTCTGCACGTTAAATAATGTTATGTTAGTATTTTCCTCTTATTTATCAAACTGTTCACTCAAACATTAACCTATCAGCTTATCGCAATGGGAGGCGTCCGTAGCTTAGGCGTTGCCAGTTTGACTCGTAATTCCAATCTACCGCAATCGAAACCCACTGCTGTGTGAGTTTTTATCATGGTATTGTGGGTCGCAGGTCGACCCACCCTAAGATGTGTACCACTATGTTTGTCCTGGGGAAGTAAAGACGGCCGGCGTAATGCTGGCCACGTTACCCACTTAGTGCTGATTGGATTGTAAATATATCGGTGCCCTTCCTATATGCCAGATGCGCCTAGAGTCGTGAAAAGGGATCTTTACTTTTATTACTTACTTATCGCAGTAGGGTACCTTTGGGCTGAATGTTTCGACAGCTACCCAATTATGCATTGTTTAAACAAAAAACAAAAACAAAACACAAAAAAAAAAAAAAAAAAAAAAAAAATAGTTAAAGTACAGATTCTTTAACTTTTCAGAGTTCAGTTACAGTGACTGCCAGCGCAAAAGTTCCATGTACATGCACACCAAGTACTCAGATGTCAACTGGTCAATCACATTTATAACATTGTGGCGGGGCATGGCCTGATCGCACACACAAGTCAGCAATGCACTTGTTAATGATGACCAAGATGCCACCGATAAACACCAATGACAAACAAATACACTAGACCAATACAGTAAGGGCACTATTTGCTTCTGTCCATACATAGAGCTAACTGTGTTGGCCCATTTTACTAGAATATGTCCATACATCGAGCTAACTGTGTTGGCCCATTTTTACTTGAATATGTCCATACATCGAGCTAACTGTGTTGGCCCATTGTTACTAGAATCTGTCCAGACATCGAGATAACTGTAATGGCCCATTGTTACTAGAATCTGTCCAGACATCGAGATAACTGTAATGGCCCATTGTTACTAGAATCTGTCCAGACACCG